TCTCTCTCTCTCTCTCTCTCTCTCTCTCTCTCTCTCTCTCTCTTTCTTTCTTTCTTTCTTTCTTTCTTTCTTTCTTTCTTTCCTTTTCCTTCCTTCCTTCCTTCCTTCCTTCCTTCCTTCCTTCCTTCCTTCCTTCCTTCCTTCCCTCCCTCCCTCCCTCCCTCCCTCCCTCCCTCTCCTCCTCTCCTCTCCCTCTTTTATTTTACTTTATTTATTTAGCCTTCACCTTTGGGTCAATGTTGACTCCTGGTAACTGTCTCAGAAAGTCCCTGCAGTTTCTTTATTTCTTCACATTCAGTCAAAAGGTCTTTGTGTCAATTTGCCATCTTATTATTCAGCCATATCTTCAACTGCGCTTCACCCTTTCCTCCCCCCAGGTCTGTTTTCCTTCACTCTTGTGATTCCTCCTTCTTTTAGTCCTCTTGTTTTGAAATGTTTCATATAGCCTGGATCACAGTTGCAGCTGGGATTGAATTGGTTTTGCTTATTTTTTTAATCCTCCTTGGGATCTTTCTTGGTAAACAGACAATGAAGCTTCAAGCTTGCCTGTTTACCGAGTTGTGGGGTGTTGAGGGGAGCAGGAACTGTGGAAAGAGTCTATAAAAATAGCATCCATCTATAAGGTGCTGATTGCATTTTCAGATAGAAATTATATTGGATATAATACAGTTTTCCACTGCCTGCTGGGTGAGGATTCTGGTATAAAGCAGATTTAACTAGGGAGTCTGGCAAAGAAAGATAGCCTTTATCTTATTAAAGGAGGAATAATTGCAGTCATATATCTGGCCCAACTGCAGTTGTGTGAGTAAAATAGCCAAAGAGATACCTAAATTCTATTTATCCCACTTCCCCCTCCCAGTAACTGTGTTAAGATATTTATGCTCTTGACGTTCAAATTTCAAATAAGAAGCAGAGGCCAAGATAACAAGCTGCAGATTTAGACCAGAAGCCTTGTCCCTGGACCTCACAGTAGCAGCCTGACCATTGATCCACAGCTCTGCATAATACATACAGGAATATTCAGGGCTCTCTCATACACTGTTCTTGCCACTGTGGAGATGATAAAACCTCATTGCCCCCTTTGCAACCCCTGTTAAAAATCCATCCTGCCAAATAAAACCATCTGTCTTGAATTAGACCACACACTGATTTATTCCACCAGGACGGCATAAATATATGTTTTTTTAATATATAAAAAAACAATCTTTGGCTTGTATTCAGGTTGAGGTCTGTAAGTCCTTGCAATAATCAATGTGGATTATTTTGCTTACTGGCTCTAGGTTACCTTGTCAATATAAATTACTTTAAATTGAGAATTGCTCAACTTAAGTTTGTAACATTCTTATTGAGGATCTCATATAGATAAACATCTATGCAGGTGGTGTTTGTTGCAAAGTACACATTGCACAATTCTCCTGTTTGGTTCTCCTAGCACTTTTGGTAATAGTCTTAATAATAATAATGATTAGTGGTATCAAACATCCATCTAATATTTGATTCATTCCTGAGTTGATTTCGGCACGGAGGCTATAAGATTTCTTACCCTTTGTAAAGAGTTTAATGGATGGCCTTGATAGAGAGAGGGATATCTATTACCAAAGCAAATAAGATAAACATGGCTTAAGTCTAAATATAGATATAGATTTCTGAAAATGCTTATGGCAGACACAAGAACATAAAAGAAGGAAGAGGGAAATACATTTTGTGTGAATCCTAAATACAAACATGATATTTTCTTCTAATAAGAGTAGTTAGGCATATGTAGTGGCTGTTCTGTTCTTCATCTGATCTACTTTGTAGGGCTGACATCTATTCTGATTTACTGTAGTTCATTGCTGCACCATAAATATTATTTAGCATTCATTTTGGAGAATGAGGGTGAGAGTTGTGTTGCTCATGTGTGTATGCATGTGCACGTGTATTTCCTTTCTGAGCTGCCATTGCAAATATTACTCTTTAAGTCTAGCACAACTCTAGAACATTATTCAAGGCAGATGAAGCCCTGTACCTGCCTTGTCTTGATGCAGACATTGGAAAAGTTTTTATGTTCGCTACATTGGCTGAGTGAATAGGCTTGGATTGCCTAGAAAAAGCTTATTGAGGGGAGGAGAGAAGTAGAGTCTACATTCGAATAATTTTTAGGAATTATTCATTTTGCGTACCCCTTGCAAATAACATACTTACTTCAAACACTGGCATTTCATCTTGAGAAAAATATATGGAACAGTTGATGAGAAAGGAATGATATTGTGGAGCATTGTTGGTTTATTGTTATTTGATAAACTTGCATGTCACCCAACTCCCAATGATTTGGGGCAGCTTGCAACAATCAAATAAAGAAATTACAGTAAAAACAATAAAAGCTGGCAAGTGCGACAGTCCAGATGGAATGAAGTGAGGAGCCTTATTCTCCCTTGCCAAAGTCCTGTATGAAGGACTAAGTCTTCACTGCTCATCTGAACAACAGCAGAGACTCTATCCAGAACTTCAGGGGAACCTCATGTAGTAGTGCTGTTATAGAGAAGGCACCCTTCTGGGATCCCAATAGGTGGCATGGTTTAATAAAAGGAATTGGAACATCCAATCCTATCAGATCAGATCAGTCAAGCAGATGCTATGGGGGACAGGCGGTCTTCAAATAATCAGGCTCTTCACTATGTAGGACTTTATTCAAGCACTTTGAATTGCACAAACTGATAACCAGTGAAATTCATGAAGTAGGGTTGTTACATCACTGCTTCTGCGTTCTGGACCAATTGAAGTTTCCTGGTGGTTTTCAAGGGCAGCCCCATATAGAGTGCATAGCAGTAGTCAAGCCATGAGTTGACATAGGAATGGGTGAAGATTTCCCCTCCTCCCATTTTATTTACTTAAATTGATTTATAATATTCTCCAGATGTTCTAAATTAAATTACACAAAGTAGCTTTACTGCACGCAGATTTTTTTTTATATGTACCCCCACCTCTCTTTCAACATGTGCACCCCCCCCCCTCGCCCCTACACCCTGTAGGAAATCTTAGTTCATGGATTTGTCAGTTCTTGGAACAGGGTGTTAATAACCCACAGTGTTGAGTCTTAGTTGTCCCAAATTGATACTAAATCCATAACACAGCAGTGACTGTGGAAAGCAGAAAAGAATACCCACTAACAGATAATATTGAGCTTTTGAGCTTTTATTATTAGTGTCAGCTTCTGTTTTTATTACTTGATGTTCACCACTCGGACTCTAGGGAGGAGAGTGAAAAACAAATGTGAGTACTGTAAATATTGTTGAGCTCAGCAGTTATATTAAACTTGCCTGCCCTGTTCTTTGATCTCAGAATAGGGAAAGCAACAGCACTAGCATTTAGACTTATATACCGCTTCACAGAACTTTACAGCGCTCTCTAAGCAGTTTTACAGAGTCAGCATATTGTCCCCAACAATCTGGGTCTTCATTTTACCAACCTCGGAAGGATGGAAGGCTGAGTCAACCTTGAGCCTGGTGAGATTTGCACTACCAAATTGCAGGCAGCCAGCAGTCAGGAGAAGTAGCCTGCAGTACTGCCCTCTAACCACAGCGCCACCATAGCTCAATGTTTGCAGATTTTGTGCTTATATACAAAATGCTGCTCTTGATCCATTCCAATTAGAAAATTCTTATATACTCTTCTTCTATACAGAAGAAGAGCAGCCTAGGTACCTATTCCTTGACAAAATCTGAATTTCTGTGTACTACAATGGTGTAGTCAGGATAGGACCCTCTGGAAATATCCTTAGTCTACAGCTGATTGCATTACTGATACAGGTCTTAGCATAAACTAGAGACTTACAATCTGAAGCCCCAGGGGTGCATGCAGCTCCCGTACAATCTCCTGGGGATCTCGAAAATTAATTTACAAATTCTGCAGCGGTTGGAAGAGCACCCAATCACTTCCAATAAAGTCAGAATGAAGTATGAAGCCAGGTGAGTGACCATGGGCTAGTCATTCTCTGAGCTCTAAGAAGGCAAATCACATCTGAGAAAATGTTACAAAGAGAGACCTGCAGGGGACATGTCCAGGCAATTCCTGGGAATCAAATTGACTTACAGTCAGGTACTCACAGCCAGAAATTATATCAGGAGGAGAAATAAAATTCAGAGATTTTCCTTTCATGCTTGAACCGTGTAGCAAAAAATTGAAACCTGAGAAAAATTATGAACTTAACCACATGTGGACTTTAAATGTGTGTGTGTGTGTGTGTGTGTGTGTGTGTGTGTGTGTGTGTGTGTTTCCTTATTTTTTATGTTTTCTTTTTTTCCTTTTTAAATATAGCATATATGAAAGGATAGAGGTTTAGGGTTATAGAGGTATAAACAATGCAATGTAATATATACTGTATAGAAAGAACATATTATATACTCTATAAGATAAAAAGCAAAAGGTCTTGTCTCCTAAGAGTTGTGTAATTAATTAAAGTCTACCATTATGCCTCTGCTGTTAAGAATGCGTGATATGCACCATTTCCTTGGTTGCATGATAATAGATATGAATAATAGCATTGTCTGCATTTGCTCCTCCACTTAGTTTATTCCAGATCCTCTCTACTACATTCAACATTCAGCGCAACTTTTCTTCTATTCTGTCCCTTTTTGTGAAAATATATTGCCTATTATTAATTTTAATTAAATGCACATTAAAAAAAAGTAAGCATTTTAAATAACTTATTAGATTTCAAAAAAGATACACAGTTAAAAGATAAATCAAAAATTAGAAAAAGAAAATGGTTCAGAAAACAATAAAAGTAAAAATGCAGAAATAAAAATAATAAGGAAAATAGGAAAATAATTATTTCTGACTTTCTTTGATACAGGTATAAATATAAAAATTCATCAAAGTCTTACTCTAAGGTTAACATTTCTCAATATTATTTTCATAATCCCGTGTAATACTAATCATCAAATCCCCAAGTCATCTTTTCATTTCTTTCAGTTTCACTCAAAAAGAGCAATAATGGTTTCCAAGTAAAACTAAAATTTGCCAAAATCTTGCATCAAAGCTATCGATTTCACCATCTCTGCTAATTCCACCAAGTCTCCATTCTACTATTGTAGATATTTATAAGTCCTTCCACCTTTGTGCATATAAAAATCAAAATAAGCTTTTGACCCTTTTTCACTTGATATTTTTGGCATGTAGATCCCAAGACTTTATTAAAAAACCAAGTACAACTCTCAAGTCAGAGAAAATTTCTATAAATAATCCAGGCCCACCTAATACTATTTCTTACTATTTTAAAGTACCGGAGTATAAAGCAGCATCTGTTTATTTAAGGTGTCCCCTGAGGTGTCATTTGCTTGTTCCAGATATCACATGGAAGAAACACCAACTTCTTGCTCTCCTTGTTTTCTTAGAGATTATCACTTCGCAAAGCTGAAGACTCTCAGGGCAAACAGAAGAAAAGTGGTGATAATGTAAGAGAAAGGATTATCAGACGGGCAGCTCTTGAATTTGAAGATGGCATGTATGGTATCCTTTAAATATGGTGAAAGTTCTTTGTTTCCTTGTTTCTGAAGGCACAACTGAACAAACAATGTAGATAAAAAGTTGAATGGAACCTTAACTTAATTAATTAAAGCTAACTTGGGTATCGGCATTCCCCTGCTTGCCAGCAACTATATCAGCCCAGCTATAACTGTGCATCTACAGAGTGAAAATGGCGTCCTTGGTTTGGTAAGGATAGAACAGAGATAATACAGAAACCTATCCACTAGCCTAGTACAGCCAAGCCTTCCAAATAAATAGGACTACAGTTCCTATCACGCCCTTGTATGAAATGGGACCTGTAGTTCAGCTGAGGGCAACAGTTTGTTGAAGACTGCTGTAAATATGGCTGGGGAGGTTAATACTTATGCATGAGTTCATCAAATATATGGTTAGAACAAAGATTCAATATTTGTTATTGTTGTTGTTGAATTAGGGACCCTATCCATCTGAAAATGAAGTTGACCCTGACCTCATCAATGCAGGTAATTTTTCCCTTTTACTTACATTTCTATTTTGCTTTTTCATTCAGAGAGATTACTGCAACCTATTGTCTTACTCCAGATAGAATACATGGGGAGGACCAGAAAGCAAATGTTCCAGATGTAGAAATGTAGAAGAAGTAGTTTTAGCATATGGGCACACTATTTTTTCTCAGCCAAAGATCTACTTGGTTGTTTAGTAATGTGCCCTACATAACAAAGCAAATCTTTGCGGAGTAGCAGCCATGGCAAAGATTTAACTTAATGTCTTTGCCACTTAAATACAGATAGTAAGATTAAATTCCAACTATTTAAAAAAAACTTCCTCTTCTGTCATATCAAAATAATAACTTTTGCATGTTTGGGAACCAAGACATTCAGGATTCACACAAAGCTAATAGGATGTACACTAAATGTACCTGACATTTTTTTTTGTTGCCAGTCATTTTAGTTACTCAACTCAGAGTAACTCTAGTAATTCTTAGCTTTAGCTGCCAAGTTACAAAGTAAAAACATCACAAATACCAATCTTCCTCCTCTCCTAATTTAGTACTGCACATTTCCATCCTGATAAAATACTATAATTATTACTCAGTACCTCAGTATTTTTATCTCTAAGCTTCTCCTTGTGAGATGATTCTGCCCTTTCAGACGTAAATAAAGCACCTCATGGGAGTTATTTGGTTCTAATGGAACTGGCTGAACTGGGCAGCGCCATTTCCTGGAGATTTTTCATCAGGGTCCCTGAATGATTCACAAGGGTCTATTCTGAAACTATTCTCACTCCAAGCTTTTCCTTTTCTTAGTATTCTTGGATCGTTCTCTCAGTTGTAGTTTTTTCCTCCCTGTTCGTCACCCTAACAATCTATTGAAATAACTGCCTCGTGGGTTTTGTCCAAGCCTAATTTTTGAAAAAAAACCTAACTTCCCGACTTCATTATTTAGTACATTCAACTACAGCCCTTCAGCTCTTTTCAGCTTCAGTTTCTGTACAGTATTTGTGCTAAAATATCTGTGTTTAAAGAGGAAGCATGTAACTATCATTTTCTGATTCAGTGGCTTCATTTCTGCATTTCATAAAGGTAGTGGTCAGCAGCAGAGGATCTATGGATGCCTGGACATTTGCAAGAGTCTCAAAGGGAACCAAATTTAAAACAATTAATTTAAAAAATGCAAGGTATCAAGCAAATTTAGCACTTTCTTTGGGGCAGATGTGAAGTACTTGAAAGTATACATGGTTTCTCATTTTGTATTCATTTTTTTCTAACACTAGAATTGGTACCATGAAGATAGTGCACTTTCACTGTACATTTTTCTACCTTACTGAATTCAGTCTGAAGATATTCTCAATCATCCAGGTCATGGTTGTACCAAAAGTGCTTTTGTCAGGAGGCAACTGGACTTTCTTGTTTTTTCTTTTGAAGATGTTTTGCTTCACATCCAAGAAGCTTCTTCAACTCTGACAGGATAGTGGGGAATGGAAGGATTTATATTCCTTGCAAATTACCAGCTGTCTGCAAGGAATGTAAATCCTTCCATTCCTTCCACTATTCTGTCAGAGCTGAAGAAGCTTCTTGGATGAGAAGCGAAATGTCTTCAAAAGAAAAAACAAAGTCCAGTTTGGGACTTACTGAATACAGTAACCTTTTTTTTTTTTAACAGTGAGGTACTTCAATAAAATTTCTATTTAATGCAGAGGGAATGTTTTTTCTTTCGGTACTAATTAAGAATCATAATATATGAAGTTGATATGAGATGAGTTAACAGAATAAATTTCCAGTATATCCTGATAAGTTCTCTGGGTTTATGCCCTATTTCTTTTTCAGGTAAAGAAACAGTCACTGTATTGCCAGGTGCTTCATACTTCTCTAGTGATGAATCTTTTGCAATGATTCGAGGGTATGTAATGATCACTAACTGTCCAAGGCACTGCCCCAGCTGGTAGTTGAATTTATTATTTAACCACCCCAAAAGGACTTCATACTTACCCATCCAAAAAGTCGTGCAGTTGATAGATATTTGAGATATATTAGCAACTCCAGCAGTTTTAAGAATTGTCAAACTAACTCCTCTTTATATAAATCCTTCTATTTTATGAACTGAGTTTTGTAGCATGGATGTTTTCATAACTAAATATGCAATGCACGAAAGTTACTTTCTTCTTTATTAAATGTTAACATTTGCTTGTTTATAACATCTGCTGATAAACGTCTCTGGTACCAAGTCACCAGTGGTACTGGTAGGTTGGTTTTGGGCTTAGCAATTTGCATGAACCCAGTCATTATGGTTTATGAATCATGGTTTAGAGTCTCAGCCAATTGTGATGTATTCAATTAATTAATGCTACATTTTAATCTATTACTGAGTTCTGACAGACATAGTGTTCTATAAATGTCTTTGGAACTTCAGTCTTATGTTTATTCAAATACATTTAAACAAGCAATTCTTTAATCTCACTGCTATTTAATTTTTCAACATCTTGAGAATTACAGTAACTAATGTGACAGAATTCTGTGTGGTGTTGTCCCTCCAGTTGTGCACTGATGTTGTGCTTTGCTGTTTTAACAGGGGACATGTTGATCTAACTATGCTTGGGGCAATGCAAGTATCTAAACATGGTGATTTAGCCAACTGGATGATCCCTGTAAGTAATTTAATTTTATATTATTGCTGAGAGTAATTTGAAGTGCTGATATATATCTTTACTAAAGATGCTTTCTTAACATCTGTATTTCAAAAAAAGTGCCAGAAAAAGGAGAATATAACTTTTGTATGCATGCTCAAATAAACGTTATACAGATGAAACTCGAAAAATTAGAATATTGTGCAAAAGTTCATTTATTTCAGTAATGCAACTTAAAAGGTGAAACTAATATATGAGATAGACTCATTACATGCAAAGCAAGATAGTTCAAGCTGTGATTTGTCATAATTGTGATGATTATGGTTTCACCTGTAGTCATCTCCTGATTTGCTCAGAAGGGATCACAATATTATATTTGTCTTTTGTAACTGAATATTTCCATTAAAAATATAATGAAATCTAATCTAATAAGTCTAATGGAAAAGAAAAGGAAAATCTTGGTTCAACCTGTTTTGTATCATTGTCCTTCCCATTGGGGGCTCCTTAGTGTTGTTCCTAATTACAATATCAATTGATCACTCAGCTATATCATACAGTATAAACATAAAATGAAATTTTGAAAACTGTTATTTAGTTTCAGGCTGAGGAACCAATGATTCCAGATTCTGTGGGATGAGAATTCTGTCATGGTCATGATGGAAGTTGTAATCCAAGACATCTGAATCACAGAGTAGAATCAAGGATTTCATAATGAGAAGGGGCTAGTTAGATCCCTGCTGAACTGATCTTGTGGTTAGAAAGTTTTTTATAACATTCAGTCAAAATTTGATTGATTAATTTAAATCCATTTTTCCATGGAGAAAAGAACAGCTCTTGACCTTCTTTGTAATATCCATTCGGGTTTTTTAACAGTCCTATTTTATTATACCTCAATCATCATTTCTCAAGGCTTAATATACCCAGTTTCTTCAATCCATCTTCATAGAACTTAATATCTAATCCCTTAGTCTTCCTTCTTGCTCTTCTTTAAATTTGTTCCAGTTTCTCTAAATTCATTTTCAAAGATGTTACCCTGAATAGTACTTGATGTAGTGGGGTCTGACTAAGGAGACTAAGAATAAAGAGGAATAATAATTAATTTTTTGTGATTTGAAAGTTATATTTCTGTTGATGCGGCCTAAACAAACGTTATTATTTGCTTCCACGTTACGGAATACAGAACAGAATAATAGAGAATTACACAGAATTACATGTATTTGGTTTGTAACTGACTACTATTCTAAGATCTTTTTCATAGGTTCTGTTACCAAATGAACTGAAGACCTTCACGCTTCTCTCTTGTTAAACTTCATTCTGTTACTGAGGATACTTTTCAAGATAATTGTAAATGTTATTTCTGTCTTCCGGGATTTTAAACTACCTGTAATGGAGAGGAATTTTGGGGGCTCTGAAGATCAAACTGATAAAACAACAGCACACAATAACCCATCGAGTGAACCCGTTCAAATATTTTCATAATGTGATGCATTGACAGAAAGCATTGGTTTCTGTTACAGCCTTGCAGGGCCAATCATGTAAATGTTAACTAAATGACAAGCTAAGCAGAGATATAAATAGATATCCCCTTTCCTTATTCACTTGCCTGCAAAAGATTTTTGATGAAAGGTTGGAATGCAACAACTTGTATTATAGTTTTATTGCAATAGCATTCAGAGTTCAACTATTTCACTGCCTCCAATAATAAAACTTCTATGTGTGCAACTATAGTTAATCTTCTTAGGGTTAATTAAGGGCTTCAGAGAAAATGTAGCTGGCAATGTCTTGTGGCTATCAGCACATGGATATTTTTCTCTTCAGATGCTCTATTTCCCCTGAGAATTCGGCACAGGATAGACTAATTCTAAAAATTTGGTCCTCTACCTTTGATGATCTTCCTTAACCCAGAGACTCTTCAATAGCTTTTTGGTCTTCCCTGGAATCCAAGGATCTTACAGTAGCCTCCCAACTAACATAGTTTACCTAAATCCAACTGCTTAAATCTACTTTAGTTTGTCACTTCTAATCCTCAGATACTTTCCCTATTAGCTCCTTATCCCAATTCAGCTTCTTCTCTCCACTTTTCCTGAGAGGCTCTTTCTTTGGGCATGGGTCTGTAAGCTGGTTTCTTGCAATTATTTTTTTCAGATTGAGTTTACAACCTCCAGGAACAGCTTGTCTATCTGGGAAATCATATGGTAGGATGCCGAAAGTGTTTTGCTTCTACATCTGTCACATATCCATTTTTGTTTTATTTGCAATCAACATTCCCACCTTTTCTACATGCAAATCATTAATGAAAAATATTACAGATTAAAGGACCCCAGGATTAATTCTTGCATTATCTCGTTTGATAATGCAAGAATTTGATCAGGAACCATTGATGAACACTCCTTTAGGTATGCTTTTCAAGCTAGCTGTCAGGGTTCCAAGTAATAAATCCATTGCAAGCAAGACTCTGAGGCAATTGAATTCCTCAAAGATTACCTTTTGGGAAATATCATATTGGCACATATCTTGTGAAAACTGACTCTGAAAACTCCCGTGATTTTCACCATATTAAAAGTAAAAGATTTTCTGTTTTCTCAAAACAAACCATCACATGATCCAATCACTGTGCAGTCCAACATCACTCTGCCTTCTTCTGATCAGGGGTGAGAATGTCCTTGGTTCCCAAGAGAAAGTATTTTGTTTGGGCTACAAAAATCCCTCTATCTCAAATCCCCACTCCCTGACCCTTAGCTCCAGTGTGGCAACACTGAAGCGGACAAAATGGCTTTGGTCAGGCCAGCTTCAGTGTTGATACCAGCTATGAAGTCATTTAATTGTCATGCAATCTAGCCCACAATTAAGTAGTTTCCTAATCAATATGTAATGAAATATTTACTCAAATAGTCTGCTGAAATCAAGATAAATTATGTCTACTACATTGCTATAATCTGTTACAATAAAAAAAATGAAATGATTCTGTATTCCTTCATTAAGCTGACTAATATATAACCAGGAAATATAATTGTTTCAGCAGAATGTCTTGTTACCCTTTTATAATTTTATTATACAGTAGTCCTAAGTATGAAGCTTCTCCCATATTTGAGGGCTTCTTAGGACAAAGCTCTGATATATTTTCTCATTTTAAAAAAACAAAGGAAAAGGTGCATTGATTTGAATGCTTTGTTTATCAATTAAACCACATTTTATTCCTTGTTCTGCATTTTACCTATTTCCATACCTCATTGATTTCTTCCAGGCTGGCACTCAGCTATTCAGATTTAAATTTTAAGTGACAGGAGAAATTTAATCAATTTTCAGAGCTAAACAGATTCATTATAAAGAGAGGTGGGGAGAAATAAAGTTTAAAAATCCACTTGGGAGTTTTCTTCCTGCAAGAATTCTTTCTTATTACTGTGGAAGGCTGGAGTTAAGATTCAATAAATTTCTTGCTGTGAGCCAGCAATGTGTGATATTTCACTATTGGCAGTGAAGCCTTTTCACGCATCCTCATCTGACATCAGCTTAGCAATTCAGAGAAAAAGTGGGCTGTCTCACTCTCAAGGCTTGCCAAGGGAAGAATAAAGCTGCCTGATGATTTAGGCCCTCTGTGGTTTCCTTGATATTTACCAGTAACAGTAACAGAACTGCAAGGGACCTTGGAGGTCATCTAGTCCAACCTCTGTTCACGCAAGAAATCTATACTATTTCTGACAGATGGCTGTCCAGTCTCTTCTTAAAGGCCTAAACTGATGGGCACCCACAACTTCCGAAGGCAATTTGTTCCACTGGTTGATTGTTCTGTCAGAAAATTTCTTCTTAGTTCTAGGTTGCTTCTCTCCTTGATTATTTTCAATTCATTGCTTCTTATTTTGCCTTCAGGTGCTTTGATGAATAAGTTGTGGCAGCCCTTCAAGTATTGGAAGACTGCTATCATGTCACCCCCCTGGTTCTTCTTTTCACTAGACTAGGTATACCTAGTTCCTGCAATTGGTCTTCATTGGTCTTCCTTAACGGAACCTCGATGAGTGATCTCAAGCTGGCCATGCCCCCCTGGAGATCAAACACAAACCTGATGTGGCCCTTAATGAAATTGAGTTTGACACCCCTGATATAAAGAAACAGCCTGAAGCTATGCAAATTTTTTATGCCTGACTGTTTTTTTTAAAGCCTAATCTCTCTTGTTTAGCCATTGTCCCCAAATATTTTTCACTACAATTTGTGTCAACCTCAGCCATTTTAGGAAGAACAGGAGTGGTAATCCAAACTATTTGGGAAGGAATTTGACCAGGTAAGTCTGGTCTTATTCTTGCTTGAAAAGTTTTAGGATCCAGTCAGGTGCTCAAATACCTTTAAAAAGCCCAATTGCATATGGTGATATTTGCTTCTTTAAAAAAAACAACCATTAATTTTTTTTAAAAAAGTATAAAATGCAAAAATGCAAAACAAAAAAGTCAAATGAAAAAGGAAAAGGGTAGGAAAAAAGCAAAATTGGGAAATATAAATGAAAGCAGAGCTATAGAAAAAAAGGTAACTTCTGACTTTCTTCAGTATAGATAAAAACCTAAAAGTCAATGACTTTTTGAACTAGAATAAACCATAACAAACAGTAATTCTATCATCACAAAGAAATTTAAATAACCATAAGCCAATTTTAACCCAAGGTTAAAATTTCATTTCTTTCAAACAGTTTTTTAAAAAATTGAAGTAGAAATGAAGCTAAATCTTTAATAACAGAATAAGAGAGTTGGAAGTGATCTTGGAGGCCTTTTCGTCCAATCCTCTGCTGAAGTAGGAAACCCTATACCATATAATTAAAGCAGTCAATTTCTCCATCTCTGCCAATTCTATTAATTTCACCAGCCATTCTTCCATTTGGGGTAAATGTGAGTTCTTCCATCTCTCTGCATATAGAGGCTTTGTCAGTGATATTTGCTTCTTCTTTGGCATATTTAATGCCATTGTAATTTTTTTTTTCATTTTAAGTTGTGTTCCATGTGCATAATAGTGTGATTAGGGCTTATTAATATTTATTACTTCCCTTCAACAGAAGTCTCCCACCATGCTTAAGGCACAACTGAGTTGCAACTACCACTGGGAGCATCTGCTTGAAAGATATTAATCTAAATGTTACATTAAAAGTGAATTAAAGAAAGATTTGAGACTGTGCATTTATGTTTGCCATCTTTTCATGTGATCTTTATTGATAAACTTGTAAAATCAAGCCAGAAGCATAAGTGAAGCAGGTGGTATAGAATAAGCTTCTTGTTTAACCAAAATAATGATAAATATGATTTTCTTACTGACTCATTCATCCTCCTTACACAATCACATATTTGAATAGCCTGAAAGCAAAAGCAGGTTGGAGAAAAGAAGGTTGAACGCAAATTAGATGTTGCAGATGGAAGGTTCATATATTCCACAGGTTACATCTTTCATGAGCCCCTGGCTTGTCATCATTGTGATGGAAAGAAGACTGGGTAACTCTGGATTTTAGGGCCCCTGGATCTGGAGAACTTCCATCATTACTTCTGGATAAGGTATAGCTCCCCCAGACAAAATTGTTCCAAGTTCTGGGCATCTTCTTGGATTCACAGCTGAATAAACAAGTGGCAGCTGTGGCCAAGGAGATCTTTGCAACAAATCCAAATTTTGTGAGCCAGTTGTACCCTTTCCTGGATTGGGAGGCTCTGGTCATAGTCACTCATGGCATAACCTATTGCAGTGCAAGTCTACATTGGGTGGTCTCAAAGAGCATTTGGAAACTGCGGCTTCTCCAGAATGTGTTGGTGTGGAACGTTTCGAGTGAACCCACATTATAACACCACTATAACACTATAACCCTATAACACCACTGTTATGTGACTGATTTCTAGTAAGGTTCTATGAGCTATTCAAGGTGCTTGAATTGTACAGCACACAGGGCCAAGATACTCGTGGGACAAAGTGCCTTTGGTGATTTGCAATCACCATCAGAGCGAGCAGGTGAACAAATGTTGGTCCCTTCTGTTGTCATCTCTTGGGACCAAGGGGACAGGCCTTCCTTTCACAGCACCTGCCCTGTGGAATGGCTTCCTTCCTGAGGTTCAGATGGTCCCAACACTGAGGGCCTTAAACACCCTGACTCTTCCCTCAGTCCCAAGGGCAAGGAAGTGAGGTCTGCTATCTGCCTTGTGATGATTGAGAGTTTCTTTTTTTGCCTGATGTGTCTCATTGTTCTTTCTATTATTTTGTGGTGTGTATTTCTGTTTTCATTCTTGCCAGTCACCTAGGATTATTTGATTAAGGTGGGTGCCCATACACATAACCAATTTTTGAGGCATGGATAATTGGGCTCTGTCCATTCAGATGCGCTGACTTCTTTTTAAACACCTTACTTGACTAGGAGCTGTTTATATCATATTCTGAGACCAGCCTTGCTGATTCTAGGAGTCAATCCAACCCTGGAAATTACTACCTCTTCTGGAATGCATGTTGCTTCTGTAGGCTTCACACAGCTACTGCAGCTGTCTTTTTCTGGTACCTGTTGTTATTCTCAGCTCTTTCTCTAGTAGATTGTTCATTTCATCAATTTATTAACCACCTTGATCACTGGGATAGCTATAGGAAGCATACACAAATTAATGATGTATAAAGCAGCAGAAGTGTCACACCAACAATACCATAAAAATGGTCACTGAGCAGGATTCCAGATCTTTCTGTTCCAGGCCTGCTGGGAAAGTTATGTCTTTGTGGTTCTTCTGAAAACCAACAGAGAAGGGGCCATATGGGTTTTGGGGAAGAATGCCCTTCTCCACACAGAGCTGCCACTGAGAACTTACAGATAAAATTCTTTAACATATTGGTTCCAGGGCATGCTGACTCTTCTAGGTCTTACTGGATGTCAGAAACTTTAGAAAAGTCTCATAGAGCACTTTCCCCCCTGAATTTTGCAGGTTACTGAACTTTCTTTGCCTTAAAGAGTCATTCAGTGTCTTTAATCTCTTTTAATATTATACCTTTACACATGGATTTCCTTTCCATAATGCTTATGTAAACATTTCCTTAGCTAGGTAACATTAGGTGAAGTATTGCTTAAGCTGTTACGAATACAAGTAGTCCTCAACCAAAGACCATAATGGGGCTGCCCATTACTGTTGTATGTCATGATGATCATAAAGCAGATCATCCATGTGACCAACCCAATTTTACGACCATTTTTCCAGCAAGTTGTTAAGCACATGCTGTGGTCATTAAGCAAATTCATTGTTCACTATGGAGTGTTTTTGCCCCAAACCAGAAGTAAATGCTGGTTTTAGGCAAAAACATTAATCAGGTTCATGTGATCATGGGATGCTGCAAACAGCCATAAATGCAGGCCAGTTGCCCAGTGCTCAAGATGCAGAATTTCAAAACCAGGTTGTAAGTACATTTTGGGATGGTCGTGGTAACTGTGAACAAGTGGCAAGTTGAGGGCTATCTACAGTATGATGCTTAATTGATAGGAAGTGGGTCTATCATATTGAAGTCCAGTCCATCTAACTAAAAGTTTGGGGCTGTTGAACAGATTCAGAATTTTGAGTTCATGCTGTGGAACTTCCAAGATGGCTGCTGGAATGGTATCTCCAACAACACATGCCTGATTGACCAGAAAGCAAATTGGAGAGGTTGCTTCTTTCCAGCTTCCCAGGGTGATGGGAATTAACATTTGGTAATGTTAGACAAGCCCCATGCTATTAAACATCCTACTTTAAGAGCAAAATATTAAGAGGTGGAAGATAGACAAAGTGATAGACAACATCTTCCTATGGACTTATCAATATTAATAACATAAAGAGTAATGTTGCTGATAAATGCGGCAATGTAAGTAAATTACCAAACCAGCAACTGATACTCTGAGGCTATTAGTCAGTGAATCCAAAATAATAAATCTGGCAAACATTCTTTAGGGAATATGTGAATATATGGAAATGTCACTTCTTACTTTTATTTGCTCTTCTGGTTCGGAAGATGACTTACGAAATACTTGCTTCTGAGAACTGCTTTTCTTTAGCAAAAAACTTTATTATCACTCTTGCCTTACATGGTTTTGAACCTTTTCATCTCTTTGCCTTTTAAAGCCGCCCTCAAAGATTATTCTAATCTCTCAGTATTCGACTTCGGAATGCTTTGAAAGAACCCTAACATTAACAAAGTTGCTATTTCCAACTCCTTTTTTTAGCTCAAGCAACAGCATTTGCCCATTGGTTATCTACATTCTTTAAATTTTACAGAGAATTTTCTGTTTGGAAAATACTTGCTTTCAGCCTCCTTAGAAGAGGGCTAGTGCTTGATTACTGGTTTCTAAGCTTGCAAAAATAACATATTGCCAAGGCCTTTTTTGTTTTTTTTTGGATAGAGTTATTTTGATTTTCTTCCTGGGAAGGAAAATATAAATAAATCTTGCTTAACAACTTTTAAGTACTGGTACGCACTGAAAAGTGTTCTTTTCACTCTTCCTGTCTCTTTTAATCAGCAAATCCACCCTCCCCTCATATTCCCTTTCCTACCCTTTACATTTGAACACCCAGAATTGATTTTAAGCATCCACAGGATAGAACTCAGGAATAAAGGAGAAAATTGATTATACATATAATATGTTGGGATGATACTAGCATCATAATATGAAAACCTGGAATCCATCAATAAAATGTAAGCACAACAAAAAAGCAATAGAATGAAATCAGTTTAAAGTGAAATGTCTATGTTCCTCAAATCAACAACTAACAAGATTAATATAAACTTGTCTCTTTTTATTTAAAATCAATGACATTTTGAGCTGACATCTTGACTGTACTGCTGGTATAAATTGGCAGATACACCGAGCCTTCTAGCAAACAAGCAAATCTTGGATTGTGTATCTGAAATGTGAAATTATATCTGCTTTAAAACAATCAAAAGTTTGTCATTTGCATATTGACCTTGCTTCCTTACATTGAAATGTGTCTTATTAGTGACCCATTTTTCTTGATAATGAAAGATGGATTGAGTCAAAGGGAACACTCTTATATTTGCAGGAATTAACCTTGAAAAACAAAAACTTTTGATATATTTGTATTTTAATTCCTTCCTCTTTCTTTCTTTCTTTCTTTCTTTCTTTCTTTTTTTCTTTTTTTCTTTTTTTCTTTTTTTCTTTCTTTCTTTTTCCAGGGAAAGATGGTGAAAGGAATGGGTGGTGCCATGGATTTGGTGTCCAGCTCAAGAACTAAAGTAGTAGTGACTATGGAACACTCAGCAAAGGTAAAAACAATATATAGGGAGAGTGAAATTGTGTGTCACTTCTATATATGTTTATATCTTGATAGCTATTCCTTATGTATTCTATTCTTTATGTAGAATATAATAGAATAGAATAGAATAGAATAGAATAGAATAGAATAGAATAGAATAGAATTCTTTATTGGCCAAGTGTGATTGGACACACAAGGGATTGGTCTTGGTGCATATACTCTCAGTGTACATAAAAGAAAAGATACATTCGTCAAGAGTCAAGAATCATCAGGTACAATAATAGTCATAGGGTACAATAAGCAATCAAATCATGCTAGGAGACAGTCAATATAAATTGTAATGATACAAGCGAGAAAGTTACAGTCATACAGTCACAAGTGGGAGGGGATGGGTGATAAGGAATGATGAGAAGATTCAGTCTGTCCTGTTGGGTTGCAGAACCAAACCAGATAGTTATAGAGGTGCAGATAACAGTACAATAATTCCTCTGTAGAACTGTATCAGCAGCTCCTTGGGCAGTTTGAGCTTTCTTAGTTGGTGCAGAAAGAACATTCTTTGTTGTGCATTTTTGATGACGTTTTTGATGTTAGGTGTCCATTTTAGGTCTTGTGATATAGAGGAGAGAGGCGTGTTAGCTTGTTGTAGTCAAAAAATCAGGAGGAGTCTAGAAATCATTTTTCCAATTAACAAATATTAAACATTTCTTTTAATTACTATGAGAAGTGTAGCAAAAATACTTCATGACTATTATGATAGGTTGGTGAAGTATAACATAGATAAATCATTACTATATGAGGAAAAGTAGTTTTATGACTTCCAATGTTGAGGCTTCAAAGTCAAAATTCTTATTTGCAATCATGCAGGTGAAACTTGTGTCAATGTATACACAAGGACTGTGATTGCATGGTCATGACCATCATCTTTAATTTGATCTTTGCTTTTTATTTATTTATTAGATTTACAGTATATGGCATTCATCTTGTTGTTCAAAGCAACTCTGGATGCCTTTTCACATGGTTATACTATGGTGGATATCTTCTTGACTATTTTAACTACGCTCTATGGACATCCCTTTATACATTGGAATGAATTAGAATGAAGTAATCATTTTCGATAGTAAAAAGAAAAGGACAGAACGAAGAATGTTTCAAAGAGTTTAAATTAAAAAAAGAGGTGATATATAGCAGCTATAAAGAAGAGTTAACAGTACTGCAAAATTCCACACAATGATCACTGATTAAAGCTTGCAAAGTACTTTCAGGTTGCTTTTTAGAATACTTAATCCAAATGAGCAATAAGATTGGAAAATAGAAGTGGAGAACTATTAACAAAGCTCACCTGTAACTGAGCAGTTACTAGTAAAAGTATGAAACTTTTTCAGGCAGCCAGCAAACAGATTAAAGTGTTCATAATTAGAAGGCATCGTTTCTTTTTCTCATTTTAAATGTAATATGGTATCAATCACTATTAACATATGACTAGTTACATGATATAATCACATTCATGGTATAAACTATTATTTCTGGGATCAGTCTAAATAAAATGAAATAATAATAGCGATTGAAAAGCAGAACTGAAGGAAAGAAACATGCTGAAAAAGAAATAAACAATTCAAGCTGGAAGAAGCTACAGGAAAATATTTGATCCCTGGACTACTGCTATCCTTTTGTAGGCAAAGATGTTTCAATATGACCTTAATGTAAGATAAATAAAGTTGGCTCTGTAATGATAGTATAATATAAATACTATTTATAGATACATATAGTATACTATAAGTACATAATATAAATACTGTATATACCATAAGTACATATAATACTTGAGAATATTCCACCTATTAATGCAGTCATATGTAATGTAATAATTATTTTGTTCTGCTGGTATGAAAACAAATTACAGCTTTGAAGTACTTCTAGATCAGGGGTGTCAAACTCAAGGCCTGTGGGCCAGATCCAGACCATGGAGTGCTTAGATCTGGCCTGCAGGGCTGCCCTGGAAACAGCGAAGGACTGTGCCTCTGCCAGTGAAAATGGAGCTCGTGAGGGTCATGCGCAACCCTCTTGAGCTCCGTTTTCGCTGGCAGAGGGTTGCAGGATGCCATTGCAGGGAAAAATGGAGCTCGGGCACCTGTTTTTGCTGGCAGAATACTCAGGCCACCACAGAAGCCGGAGACTAACTGAAGAGTTGTACTGTATTTGTAGCATTTGAAAAGTAATGTGCTTCTGATTTTGAAGCAAGTAGGACTCTTGAAATATGATGATTTATTGGAGTGAAATATGTATTCTGTTGCAGGGCAATGCCCACAAAATACTGGAAAAGTGCACTTTGCCGATTACCGGGAAACAATGTGTGGATTGCATCATAACAGAAAAGGTAAAGTAGTTGGTTTGGTTACTTTTAGCTTATTTCCTTTCTCACAAAACCTAAAGAATTTAGGAGAGGGGAGTCTTATTATCTTCATAACAAACCTGCAAGACAAAGCAGGCAATAAATTGCCTAAAATAAGCCCTTGAATAATATTCAAATATTGTTTTGTTCAAATGAGCATTTTTATCTTGGTCTCAGAAGACAAGGCCCAATGCCTGCATTTGTGCTCTGTGTTATTTTTGGTTCAACTAATAAGAGGAAACAGCCTGAAGATTAGAATTAATATATAGAAATGTATATCTAAAAGTCTCTTCATTTTTTTCTTTCCAACTCATGTCTGCCTCCACCGTGTAAGCTTACTGAGAAGGAGAATTAAAGTCTTTTCAACTGGAGCTGTCATTCAGGCTAGCAGGCTATTGCTCCAGGGTGCCTAATTATTTATGGCTTGGCAGATTTTGGCTCTGCTGGCTCAGAAGTATAATCCCAGACCACCTGTGGGCTCTTGGCTGGAGAATACAGATTTCTGACTGGTTCAATGGTGGGACAGCTAAAGGATTTGAGATCTATTTATTTTTGTGTGATTTTCCATTTTTCTACAGAGCTTCTTTTCCCCACCTGGCTCCAGTTTTCTGGGAAAATATTAGACTGTTCTGCTGAATTAAACTTTTCATTAATGCTCTGTAGTGTTTATCAACAGGTTTAAAGGACTATAATGCTCCTTTTTCATACCATATGATAGCAATCTGTTATCATCTCACTGTTGCCAGGCTATACCATCTACAAATTGTTGGTGGGGAACAGGGAAGGATATCTTGATAGTTGTGCAAAAAAGCTCTTGACAGTTTAAAAACCAGCCTGTCAATGAAATAACTGGGTTTAGCACTTCCTTCCATTTTTCTGGTTTTTTACATACTATGAACTTAAATATAATGTAATTACTTTCAGATACTTAACTCTGTTTCGTCTGGTTGGCCGCCCATGCTTACTCTCCCCACCAAGCAATTAATAGTGACATCATCTGACAACAAGTACAATATGTCCTATGAGTTTGGGAATTGTAGTATCAACACCAGTTCTTGAGTGAGTGAATTGCTCATGCTGCTTTTAAAGTGGGTGGAAGGAAAAATCATAAGTGTAGGAAAACAGAGGAACAGGCAACCATACATCAGGACTCGAGAGCAGGGATTGGTTTTCAGAATTTGAATCAGCTTTCTAGGTCAGCAGAGTTTTACATTCTAACTAAACCTCTTTACAACTTACTTCAATCCTTTAGGCGGTTTTTAATGTCGATAAGAAAAAAGGACTGACGCTGATTGAGATCTGGGAAGGCGAGTCTGTAGATGAGATTAAAAAATGCACCGGTGCTGACTTTACTGTAAGTCTCTAACTAGTTAAATATAGAGGAGAAATAAATTGCTAACGAAGACAGGATTCTCTTAGTCCCTTACTCTTGGCCTAGTGCGGGGGTGTCAAGTTCTATTTCATTGAGGGACGTATGAGGGTTGTGTTTGACCTCGGGGTGTGTGTGTGTGTGGCCAGCTCGACATCACTCATGTCAGGGGCGCCTGTGGTGGCCCGCACACTCTGCCAGAGAAAATAGGCTCCCAATCTCCATTTTCGGCTGCGACAGCCTCCTACAACCCTCTGCCAGGAAAAATGGAGCTCCGTTTTCGCCGGCAGAGGCACTGTGGCCAGTCCTTCACTGTTTCCAGGTCAGTCCCACAGGCCACATCTAAGCACCGCCTTGAGTTTGATATCCCTGGCCTTGTGCAATGCAGGCTGTTACCTTTCAAACATGAATGACAAAGGTTAACAGTTGATAATAGTACTGGGTTTTTTAAAAAGTCCAGTGGTGATAATAACTTTTCCAGACTAAGGGGAGGAAAGTAATTTATCTATTTCAGTTTTTTAGAAAAGATGGTTAATTGGCTTGACTTAGAGTGAGTCAATCTTCTGGCAATATTATAATGTTTCTGTACAGTGTTGTCTTATGATTGCATGTTTTTATTACATTCATATGATACTGTGAAACAAGATTCTAGTAACTGATGATTATAGGAATATAAACATATTTAAAACACATAAAAGTAGCAGATTGAGCTGGGTAGCAACATGGATCAACATCCCCACTTTCTGGCACTATTTTATAAACTGAGGGTACAGCAACTAAAGTCCCAAGCCTCAGATCTGGCCCACCAAGACACAAAAGCTTCTTGGCCTGCAGCTACAAACTTACAGGCAAAAACAGGAGGGGTCTTGGCCTTAATGAGTTGCTGAAAGTTTACCAGTTTTGATCCTGTGTGTTTACCTACAAATCATATTCCTTTAAAAATTGATTCTACCCAAGGCTGTAGGCCTTTAAATGTCAATAATATGTTCCATCAAGCCATTAATTAAAAAAAACCCATAGTTTTAGAACCATCCTTATTTTTAAGATTTTATGTAACAATGTATTAGTTGTATGCTTTTGTGGAGAGCAATATCTTAGTGATAGCCATGAGATCTTGCCATGCATTCTTACAAACGAGACCAGAAGGAATCATTTCCTAAATTGCACTAATATGCTGAAATATCTAAAATTCTTCAGGGAAACGCAGAGCATGGTAAAAATCATAACACACAATTATGCTCTAGAAAATTAAATGGAAACAGTGGAATAAATGGTCTTAAACTGGATTAGTTTAAACATAAACATTAAACCCAAACCCATTAATCCGGTCGTGTTCAGTCCTTTATTTGCTTATACCTAATGGACAGAATCTTGCCAAACTAAAACCATAACTTTCTCACCTATTAAATATATAGTATCTTGAGATTCTAGGGTGTTACCTTGAATCTCTGGAAAAAAAATTGATGGCTTGATAGAACACATTATTGACATTTAAAGGCTTATAGCCTTAGCATAAATTTTTAAAGGAATATGACTTGTAGGAAGAAAACATAGGATGAAAATTCTCCCTCATTTCTGCAGGTACACATTCCATCACAGCTAGAAAGATCTGGAAAGGGTAGACAAAGCTGCCTGTGACTTTGGCCTAATTTCAGTCTTTCTACCTACCCATCCATTGGAAGAGATCAATCAAACCTCTCTGTTAAAAGCTCTTTGTCTCAATTCGATGCCTACTGTTTATGGGTAGGAGTGGGGAGACAACATGTCAGAAAGAAAAAAAAGGGTGTGACAAATAATGACACCAGTGTTGGCTGAAGGCCTATTGACTGCTTGTTTCAGACCATGTGGTCTTTGCCAGATTACTGCTGAGAGAAGACAAGAGAAGTTTGCCCACACATTTGCTATTTAAGCTTATGTATTTTAAGTCCAACTGAACTCAGTGGGATTTTAATGGAAGAGAACAGAAACCAATCTACACATGGATTAACTTCCTCAATCTAGTATCCTCCAGATGTGTTGGACCAACTCCCAGAACTTTTGTTCTAAACATTTGGAGGGCAAATTCCAGACCCTTAGATATAGAAGGTAGAATTAGATGTAAGCATTCACAATATGCTCATTGTTTTCCATAACGCGTGTTTGTTCTGCCAGTTCATATACCTGAAAAAGCAAGATTTTTCCCTCCTATTTATATGAGGGTTCTAAATTATTTTTTAGTACTCCAATCCAGCATAATATTTCTAAGTTGTTTTGGTCCCATCAGTATTCTTAGATCAGGGACCTTCAAACTTGGCAACTTTAAGACATGTGAACTTCAACTCCCAGAATTCCTCCTCCAGTCATGTTAGCTCAGGAATTCTGGGAGTTGAAGTCCACAAGTCTTACACTTGCCAAGTTTGAAAAACCTTGTCTTAGATAATAAAAAAGCAAGTGACTGCAGTGTAAGGCTTTGTTCAAAAGTGTAAGAGTTGAGAGCTTCCTGCTTCATGATACCATAATCTATTCTTGTTTCTCCTCTCCTTCTCTTTTCTGGAAAGTTGAAGTTGAGACTCAGATTTTTATTGGCGGCAAAAACATTGTGTTTTCTTTGTCATCTTATCACCACTATAAGCACTGAAGAGTGATAGTCACTGGCTGCAATCAATAACTATTTCAGAGAGCTGCAGCAATGCTGGTAATTATCTGTCAATTCATTTTTCTCTCTCCTTTCTTAACAGGTTTCACCAAACCTCATGCCAATGAAGCAGATTTGAACCTGAAATTTAGAGTGGTCCTTTCTTCCATACTTCCAGGGAAGGAGAATCAAATGTCTGTTTTTGCATTTATGCATTATTCAGAGGTCTTTGTAAAGCAGTTTTTATTTAAGTAGTTATCATCAAGTTGACTTGTAAACATTTGCTTGTATGCAACAATACAGTACAGTTTCCAAATTTAAAATTTCATTTGGTACTTAGATATTTTTAAATAGAGTATTGCAGGTTTGACTGTTAATAAACAGTAGTAGAGGAAATGACTCAGTTAAGATTATCATTCTCTTGTCTTCTAATGCTGAAATATGCACAAACTTTTCCAAACAGATAAAACTGCAGTTAAGTTATCAACTTCAGAATAATCCAGCCATTTTCAGTGCCTCTGAATGTGTCCAGGGCCATATATGACTCCTTTTATGCTAACGTTACTTTTACATGCAGAAAAGCAATTTGAGGGTGCCTGTATACTAGCTACTATGGTACTACCACTATTACACAGACACGAACACAGATCTGAATACAAATAGACACATATTGTTTGCTTAAAATTTGTGAATCATCAGAACTTTGGATATTTAGACATTGTATTTTCAGGGTTGCATTGCTAAAAGACTACACAGGGCTGTTTATATCTCTGATAAAAAGAAAGCATTTTTAAACCTTCCAGTTACTCATCCTGTGAGTTTATGAGTTTAGATGACTGGAGCATATATTTGCTTGTTGAGATCTCAGAACCCCCAAAGTCTAGAATTCTTGTTTTCAAAATTTGCAGTAATATATGGATTTTGTTCTGTGTAACATATAAGCACTTTCTAATGGGTTATCCAGTAGCACTTACTTGCTGAAAGCATGAATATATACATTAGAAAATAAATTTCTGGCAGGATAAAAGATGCAAGATAAATTGGGGAAAAAATTGCTTATATTTGTAGGGATAATACTGGCTACAACATCTGTCAGTCCCTTAGTTGGATTGGTTTGGCACAGAAATGTGTTTATTTAACTGCCAATGTACAGCCCTGAATTGTATAAAAATATACAATGAATTGTTCATCTTGCACATACCAGAAGCTTTGTTGCAATGGAACTTTGTCATGATGCAGTTACAATAACTTTCTTTTTACTAATCTTATTTATTCAGCTGCACCTATTCATACATTAATGTGTGGATTCCATATTTTACTAATACCAAAAATTAATTGTTCACATAGATTTTTAATTACATAAATCTAGGTGCTATTTGGAATTTGACTTTATCCTTTAGGTTTTCATATAATAGCAGATAGCATCTGCTTTTCTCTCTTGATCTGAAAGATTAAAAAAAAAATCTCAGGTCAAAGCTTCTTTCCTCATTTCTTTCTTTCCTACCTAAGCACTGATTGCAGAAACATTACAGCTTGGCCAGATCATTAGCATTCCAGTGAGATACATCCCTGCCTTTTTATGTGGTTGGTTTTCAGTGACCAGTACCTATTTGGGAGCGCAATTGGATGTAGATCTTTTTTTCTTCTTCTTCCCAAGAAGTCCTTCTGATCTGAAATGCAGAAATTAGAGAGCAACATCTAAGCAAAGATTTTGGGTGATGAGAGCTGAACTTAATTTATGTGTGATATGGGAACCTTTGAATGCCTGCTTATGGACTAATGAGCAGCTAGTGATACTTTTTTCCCTTGGGGCAGTGCTTCTAAACTCGGCAACCTGAAGATAGATGGACTTCAACTCCCAGAATTCCCTAACCAGCATGGTGCTGGGAAATTCTGGGAGTTGAAGTCCACAAATCTTCAAGTTGCTGAGGTTGAGAAACACTGTTCTCAGGAGCAACAGGCATTTTGCAGCAGGAGAAGACTGTTTAGGGGAAAAACATAAGAAATGCTGAAAGTTATTAAGAATATGTAGCACTTCTGGCCTCTTTTTTTTCTCTTAGGTATTAGTTTATATTAGTTTTTCTATTCTATTTTTAACATTTAATAAAGTTGTGCAAAAAAAGTTTCAACTGAACCCAGAGATTATTATGAAACCAATTTTGAAGGCAAGTTCAAAGGAAACAATCTGTACACCAGGTATTATTAGCAGGACGCAGTGGTGGCTTTTTACCATAGTTTGATAGTAGTACCAAATCCTAGAGGCACCAATAGGAATGAATAATTTGCAGAAAAGTTTGAATTTATTATTGTCCAAGTCATCTGGAGATTTGGGAAAGGTGCATATGTGAGTTCATCCCCTAGTCTGGTCCACCAGTTTATCCAGGGACCCTTCCTGATTGTACACCTAATATAATAGTATTTCTGCCCTTCAGTAGAAAGTTTCTTTTTTGGCCCTTCTCTTTCATTCCTTGTATTTGTCAAACGTTTCACTCTGCCCACTGATAAGGAATAAAAGTGAACTGACTAACGAATGTGCTGTATACTGTATGCAAAATCTTTTAGATGTAACTTTCAAAATAATAAAAAACAAAACACAGAATGGCTGTGTAGTGCTCTGTTAAGTATGAACTTGCATGGTGGAAATGCTTATGCCTTGCATCCAATCCAGCTCCTCTGATTCAGGTTTAATAGCAATAGCACTTAGACTTATATAGTGCTTTACAGCCCTCTCTAAGTGGTTTAAAGAATCAGCATATTTTCTTCAACAATCTGGGTATTCATTTTACCAACCTTGGAAGGATGGGAGGCTGAGTCAACCTTGAACCGGTCAGGATCGAACTCTTAGCATTAGTAGAATTAGCCTGCAATACTGCATTCTAACCACTGCGTCACCATGGCTCTTAATAAACATATTTGATTTGATTTGATTTATTTGATTTGTCAATCGCTTACAAGATATGGGTACATATAAGAAATGGGTACATATAAGAAAAATAAAAGAAACAATAGGACAGGGACGGTAGGCACGTTGGTGTGCTTATGCATGCTCCCTACAGACCACTTAGGAAAGGAGTAAGGTCAATAGTAGACAGTCTAAGGTTAAAGTTTTTGGGGTTTGGGGAAGAAACCACAGAGTCAGGTGGAGTATTCCAGACATTGACCACTCTGTTGCTGAAGTCGTATTTCCTGCAATCAAGTCTGGTGCGGTTAACCTTGAGTTTGTATCTATTGTGTGCTCTTGTGCTGTTATGGTTGAAACTGAAGTATTCATTGACAGGTAAGTCATTGCAATGTATGATTTTATATACCATACTTAGATCAGACCGAAGATGGCGTAATTCAAGGTTTTCTAGGTCTAGAATTTCAAGTCTGGTGGCATAAGGTATTCTACAACGAGTAGAGGAGTGGAGAACTCTTGTGAAATATTTCTGGACTTTCTCAACTGTGCTAATATCAGATACGTAATGAGGGTTCCAGACTGATGAGCTGTATTCGAGTATTGGTCTAGCAAATGTTTTGTATTCCCTAGTTAGTAGTGTGATATTACCAGAGAAAAAGCTACGTAGGATTAGGTTAACAACTCTTAATGCCTCTTTGGCTATGTAGTTACAGTGGGCTCTAGCACTTAGATAATTAGAGATGAGTATTCCAAGCTCCTTTACAGAGCTTGGATCATCAACAAGATCTTGACTATTCAGCTTGTATTTTATTTTCTGATTTTTTTGGCCAATATGTAAGACATAAAATGAAGTGGTGCACTACTTTGGAAACCAATGGCTGTTTCGGGCATTTGAGAGATGTGCCTGGACTCGCATCTTGAACAATTGGATGGGGCCAGGACAAAGTGCTAGCCAGGGCTAGGCAAAAAATTAAACATGCTTTAATTTACTGTATATATTTGAACACAAGGAATATTATTACTTGCCATAGTAATAATGGCCACCAATTAAGTTTGAGGGATAGTAGATTACGTATCTCTGATTAAACATCTAAAACAATTTTGGTCTTTGTGATTACCATCCAAAATGGTAACTCTTAATTCTAAATGACCCCCAGGAAGTTCCAGAGCAATTGCATGCCTTGATTTCAGTAGGGCTTACTTGGAAGTAAATTTGCTGAGTATGCTTGGGATATGCTTGGTTGTGTGAAACACTGTTTAAGGTCATCAGGTGAACAAAAACTATTGGGTTGCTTAGCCTAGCAATGCGATATTGTGAATTAATTTTTAATTTCCTGTAGCTGTGTGGCTTGTGGAACATTTGTACTACCCAGCCTAAATATTATGCGCACCATATGGTTATCCTGCTTTTTGTTTAGAAATAGCTACTCGGGGGTGTATTTCAAGCAAGGCTATTTTGGCTTTGTTCACATGATACAGTTATCCATGGTTTAGTCAACCACATTTTCTTGGTTTGCCACACCCTGAGTCATTAGCCGCCCATATGGCCTACGTTTGCACAACATGCTAAGCTAAAATCCGTTGAGTAGTTTACTGTGTATTGTGCCAACAGAAATAGAAAACATCTGAGATTCTTTCAGCTTGCAGAATTGGAGTTTTCAGCTTCTTTACTTTCCAACCTGCCTAAAGGATTTTTTTAAAAAAAGAAATGCCATTTAGTAGAATGTAACTTGTGAGGGGATCATTTGTCCACAGTTATTGCTGACTGGAAACGCCTGACAGATTTTTTACATAAAACAGGGGAAAAAATGAATTTAGGATTTGTTTTTGGTGATTAAACAGACAGGAATTGAAGTTCGCACAACTATGTGGGGGAATTCTGGGACTTCAATTCCCAGAATTCCCCAGCTGGAAGAGAGTTATATTGTAACCATAGAGTAAGAAGTCAGTTTATAATTGTACTTACTGTATAACTTATATAGTAAATAAGATTGGAAACTACTATTTTGTATCCTTTTTCTTTTCTATTTTTCTTCTCTTTTCTTCCCTTTTTTGCACTTTCAGCTTTCTCTTTGATTTCTTTCATTGCAATTTCTCCCTTTATATGAGTTTTTATCTTCTTTTAAAAATATCTAATAAAATTATGCAAAAAAAATGAAGGGATCATTTGAACTGAGCCACTGAATGGAAAAATAATATAGAGACACATAAAAACCAATGAAATTAGGAAGACTGAAAGGAGCAACCCGCTCCTTCAGGCATAAAAGATAACAATTTAGATTAAATAGCTTCCTGGTTTGAAGTGACTGCATGCAGGATTACTCACATGGCACAACCATTCCAGCTATAAAACACTGAGTAGTAAAAAAAATCACTGAAATACAGTTGTTCTTGGAGTAAGTTTATATTATTTGTCAGGTATTATTTGCTCTACCAGAGGGAAAGCATTCCCAAATGCTTAACAACATAATAGAAGTAGAAAGTGTATTGTTGCTACGCGTGCTAATGGATGTTGACAATGGTCAACTGTCCTATCCCATCAGATTGATGGAAGGAAGAAAAGGTGCTTCAACTGAGTTTCTAAAAATCCTACAATAAGACAGTGAATGATCACAGACTAAGGAAATGAAAAAAATCACATTCAGAGACCCGATCACACTGAAATTTTGGCCAGAAAGAATCTCCCTGCCATGGCAACTTTATCCACTATCCAATCTGGGTTCCTAAATGTATCAGCCCACCATTCCCATTTAGCTGTTTCGAGGCTTGTGATATGATTCTTCCCCAAACCCAAAAACTTTAACCTTAGACTGTCCACTGTTGACCTCACCCCATTCCTAACAGGTCTGTAAGGGGCGTGCATAAGCGCATCAAGATGCCTACCATCCCTGTCCTAATGTTCCTTTTTATTTGTATCCATTTCATGTATTCATAATCATGTTTATATTGTTATTTAATACATACTTGACTAAATAAATAAAATAAATGATTATCTTAAGCATTGCTGACACTGCATCCCAATTCATAGCAAAGAAAATGGGGAAGGTTTGAAATGATGTAGTCAAACCTGCAAACTGTTCCTGAGTACTGAGCACATGGAATCTTCTCTCCTAGGGCCTTATTTGCAAGGCCAATAAGAGGTCAGTGGTGTTGATAACTATAGCAAGCTTATTTCCTAAAGAAGCAAATAATATGGCTGTACAGTTTGGGGGCAATGGGGTGGAACAAAGCATAAACCTTTCTCTTTGACAGTAGCTAGGGCCCAAATCTCCTTAACTCTATTTATTGCAACAACCACAGTATTATTGCTTCAGTGAATATCCTAAGTGTTAACTCATTTTTCACTATAGAGTATGCTAACTCTATCAGTCTCATGAGTCTGCATGAATTTAATGTTACAGTACATCACTCTGAGTCTTCAGGCATTGTAGATGAATTAATTCATGGGTATCAAACGACATCACGTCACGTGATGTATTGTGACTTCCCCCTTCACTAAACAGATAGGCGTGGTCAGCGTGTGATGCATCCAGCCCGTCAGCCGCAAGTTTAATACCCCGAGTTGGTTCATTCTCACCCTTTATTTAATGGAGTGTGCAACCAGATAACCAACTTATACATCCATTTTTGTGTTGGATTCATTTCTTATCATTTTATAATAATTTCATTTTTGTACTGTTAGATAGAATAGAATTCTTTATTGGCCAAGTGTGATTGGACACACAAGGAATTTGTCTTGGTGCAAATGCTCTCAGTATACATAAAAGAAAAGATATATTCATCAAGACTCATAAGGTACAACACTTAATAATAGTCATAGGATACAATAAGCCAGGCATGGCCAAAGTCCAGCCCAGGGGCCAATTGAGGCCCATTTTCAAATTTCGAGCAGCCCGCAGCCTCTTCTCCTCACCGGCTCAGCCTGTCATTCTCGCCGGCCAGCGTTTTTCCCATTTAATGTTAATGGTTCAAAGAATGTCAGGCTGAATGGTCGACCCACACACATTTTCAGATCAATAAATCTGGCCCTCCTTGCAAAAAGTTTGAACACCCTGCAATAAACAATCAAATCATACTAGGAAACAGTCAATACAAATCGTTAGGATACAAGCAACAAGGTTGCAATCATGCAGTCACAAGTGGGAGGAGATGGGTGAAAGGAAGGATGAGAAGATTAACAGGATTAATAATGCAGACTTAGTAAATAGTTTGACAGTGTTGAGGGAATTATTTGTTTAGCAGAATGATGGCGTTTGGAAAAAAACTGTCCTTGTGTCTAGATGTTCTGGTGTGCAGTGCTCGATAGCGTCATTTTGAGGGAAGGAGTTGGAACAGTTTATGTCCAGGATGTGAGGGGGTCTGTAAATATTTTCACAGCCCTCTTTTTGTCTTGTGCAGTATACAGCGGTCGTCCACTGGTGGGCCTCAGCCCACCGATGGGCTGCGAGAAAATTTTAGTGGGCCACAGAGAAATCTCACCCCCAGAACACCCCCCAAAAGCAATTAATCCAAGCTGCGCAGAAACACGAGGCTGCACCGCCCATATGGCTCGCAGGAACCCTCCCTGCCCACTCCTTACCTGGCAAACTTGCCTGCTAAATTGCTATTTTTCCTTTTTCCAACCATCAGCT